ATATACGGTAACTTCCACATAAATAAACCGGGCCAGGGACAATGAGGAAAGGAAAACAGCCACCTAGAAGGAATAGAGAGTCAAAAAAATATAGACAGTAGTCCATCTGGCATCCTAGGATACCAGCCACCCAAACAAAGCCCAAGAGATCAGAGAGCCAAAACCATCTCCACATAACCAAAAAAAATAGCCAGACATCCATGCTAAGGCACCAAGTAATAACTAGAGCATTAAAACATTCTTAAAATCATTTCCTTGCCTTTTGGAAATAATATTAGGGTTTATTATAATTTGGAGTTATAGATTTCCCATAAAGGCAAGTCATTATGATTAATTCCATCTTAAGAGAAGTGAGACCCTTAAGAGTATTCCTGGTTAAAATAATGTCTAATATTTTTTGTAATTTCAAAGTCTAAGATAAGGATTAGAAGATGATTTTTTAAGAGGAGGATTGACTAAAATTTCAATAGTTCTTTTAGAGTCAAAGGAAAAAATACTTGGAGCATTTGATTATGAGAAGCTAAAAAATGCTCCAATTTATTATATGTTGGGCTTTATGTTTTTAATCTGAAATTTCTTTTATTTGAGATGACATGTTATTAAAAGTTGGGACTTATATTTAACCTTAGATCCTAAAGTAAGGTGAGCAATGCGAATGTAACATCTAGAACCTAGTCTTACAACATGTAAAAATTTTAAAATGGTATTTAGCTCTATAATCTTTCAATGTGATTCAAGAAAATACCTAAGACTTTCACCCTTATAGCATACATGGAGTGGAATTCTAGTTAAATTCCACCTAATTATCTTAAAATCGTTATTTTATGTCATCTATAATGCAAGATGGGGTAGGCTATTATTTAACAATGGTTTGCGCTCCTAAGACTAAATATATATAGATATTTATTGTCCCTTAGGAAAGTATTTTTTTTCATTGTTGCTTTGTAAATCTTAAGAGAATGACATTTTTCACAATGAATCATACATCAATTATAAAATTAAGATTCTAAAGTTTATTATATAATAACGATATCACAACTCAACATATGATTGCATATAACTAGTGCAAGTAAATAAAGTGTAAAAAATTATAAGAAATTAAAGTAAAAAAATTATGCAAACCCTTTTATAGTTGTTCATCAAACATGCCTACATCCTTTCCCCAAGCCCTCTCCATGGGGATCCATTAAAACTATTTTATTCTGCTCCTAGAAAGGTAGAAAGCTTGTCTTCTTCACATGGTACAAGAGAAACCCTTACATGCTCTTCTTCTCAAAATGTCCACAAATCCTAGCCCTTTTGGCTAGGTTCTCAAAATACAAATGGCCTACCCGAGATCTTCACACCCATTTCAACATGAACTTACAAACACTCTGCTAAATGCATAAGTTATAGCATAGAGGAATTGAAGGAGGTGATCGAAGAACTAACCAATGTGAAATATATACACAAAATTCAAGATCTCTATCAAGAATTTTTTCATGATCTTCTTAAATATCTCGTCCCTCTATTCTCTCAAAAACCTCTTAAAATTTTACAAAAACTATCTCAAAACTCTTAGCCATCCTTAAACTTTACTTTGGATTTTTATATATATGTTAACTTCCACATATATCCAAAAAAAGGCTATTTAATAGAATAAATAGCTTGATTATACAATCTGATGAAGATATTGTATAATAGGTTTAACACAACCAATATATAATGCTAAAACCATCTTTGTTTGATTGAACTTTATAAAGTAGATCATATAGTTCAACTAGTTCAATCCACAATACTAGAACAATATTGTGTAAAAATAAAACCATGCAAATTAGACTTTTATTTTTTGATCAAATACTATTTAAGTGAATATTATTCCATCTTGAAGGATAAATATGGTATACTATAATGGATTAAAAAAAAAGGTTTTCTTTTAAATTATCATTTTTATAATCAAATACACTAGGGAGAATAACATACCATCTCACAAAACATGTATAATATATTCTACAAATGGTATTTAAAAATGAAAAGATGGTTTGAAAAATAATTATTTATATAATCAAATACATGAGAGAAAACATCATATCATCCTAAAAGATGAACATGATATTCTACAAATGTATTTAAATAAAAAAAAGATGGGTCTTAAGAGATTATTTAAATTCTTAGAATCCTTTCCTTGCCTTTTGGAAATAAGATTAGGGTTTATTTTAATTTTGAGTTATAGGTTTCCCATAAAGGCAAGTCATTATGATTAATTCCATCTTAAGAGATGTGAGACACTTAAGACTACTTTTGGTTAAAATATGTCTAATATTTTCTTAATTTCAAAGTGTAAGATAAGGATTAGAAGATGAATTTTTTGGAGGAGGATTGACTCAAATATCAATAGTTCGTTTAGAGTCAAAGGAAGAAGACTTGGAGCATTTTATTATGAGAAGCTGAAAAATGATCCAATCTACTATATGTTGGGCTTTATTTTTTAAAACTGAAATTTTATTATTTGAGATGACATATTATTTAAAAGTTTGGACTTATATTTAGCCTTAGATCCTAAACTAAGGTGAGCAATACGAAAGTAACATCTAGAACCTAGTCTTACAAGATGTAAAAATTTTAAAATGGTATTTAGGTCTATAATCTTTTAATGAGATTCAAGAAAATACCTAAGACGTTCACCCTTATATCTTGCATGGAGTCAAATTCTAGTTAAACTCCACCTTATTATCTTGAAATCATGATTTTAGGTCATTTGAAATGCAAGATGGGGTAGACTATTATTTAACAATGGTTCATGCTTCTAAGACTAAATATACATAGATATTTCTTATCTCTTACGAAGTTTTTTTCATTGCTCCTTAGTAAATTTGAAGACAAAGACAATTTTTAACAACAAATAATACATCCATTATAAAATTAAGATTCTAAAGTTTATTATGTAATAATGATATTACAACTCAACATATGATTGCATATAAACTAGTGCAAGTAAATAAAGTGCAATAATTTAAAAGAAATTAAAGTAAAAAATAATGCAAACACTTTTATAGTGGTTCATCAAACATGCCTACATCCACTTGTTGACCTCATTTTTACATGAGGTCATTTTAATCTCTCATGGACTCTAGACCCTAAGACTTCCTGGACCCTAGGTTCCTTCTAGGCTCTAGATCTTAGGATCCTTCTAGTCTCTAGACCCTAGGATCAATTTAGATCTTAGATCAATCCAGTCCAAAATCTAAGGCTAAGGGTTTAGCTCCTAAAAACCTTTCATAGTGTTTGTTCAAACACTTCAAAACCAAGTCAATTGATCTATGATTTAGAATCTATCAATTGCATATTGATGAGACATGTCTTTGGGGTCAGCCCTTCAAGTTTGAGCTTAATCTGATTTTTCTAAGCCCAGACACTAAACCCATTTCCAAAGCTTGCAAAACATTCAAATATTTATGACCCATGCCACTAGATCTATCACCTCATGGAAATCTAACCTTGGAGTCCCCTCCAAACCTTTTTACCCCTTCCAATCCTTTGATATTGATATGGTAAGCATTAATCAACATTTTTTTTATTCACTTTGACCCAGAATTGACCTTAGGTAAAAATGACCAGAATGCCCCTTAAGGGTATTTTTGGACTTTTGACCCAAATTTAGTATGTTTTAACCTTGCCAACCTTTTAAACCTCTTCCAATCATTTTCAAACATTATTTGGGACCTATTGGACCCAATTTCAGACCCTGGGTCAACATGGTTGAACAAATCTACCTAGTTTGAGCTAAAGGCCCCTAGAGAATCAAAATAACATTTTGACTAAAATGACCTCCCCATGCCTTAAAATCACTCCCAACACATTCAGAATGTCATTTCAAATTTATTGATCCCATTCATAGCCCCTGGGTCAACTTGGTTGACCAAGTCAACCTAGGTTGACCAATGACTCATTAAAAGCCCAAACGGGTCATTTGACCCAATTGACCTTTCTAGATTTTGGGACTACCTCCATTGGTCTCCAAATGTCATTTTGAATCTGTTGAGCCTAAACCATCCCCTAAGTCTACCGGGTTGACCAAGTCAACCAAGGTTCACAAAATCAAACTTTAGACTCATTAGCTTTGAATCAAATTCTAAATGTGCCCAAATTCTTGGAAATCCATCTAATCATTCTCCCTATTATTTTAGATGTGATTGGACCCTTTGACCCAATTAATAGTTGACTTGGTCAACAAAATCAAACTTTGGTCAAACTTAACCCCATTGAATCAAATCACTTGTTTAAAATCAAGTTCAACCCAATCAAACCCTTTCCATCCATTCAATTAGATGTCCACATCTCCTAAATCTGCCTCATGAGTCAACAAGACACTTTGACCAATCAAATGGTAAACTTAAGCACTTAAACCTTGCCTTGAATGGTCAACTCCCTCTCAAAACTCTAGTTACTTGGTTTCAAAGCTTTAAACCTTGTCCAACCAGCTCAATCTCTCTCCTCCCATGCCACCTAGGTAGTCAACCCGACTTTTGACCAGTCAAACTGGTCAATACATACTCAAATATCCCCACTAATCAATTGCATTTAACTCTTAATAAATAGTAGAATATATCAAAAATTATAAATATATGAAATTCTAAGTAAATATAAAAGTCAAATTTTGGTAAAAACCATAATTAAGGGTATAAAATAAATAAATATAAAATAAAAACAAGTAAAAAACAAAAAAATTTAAATAGTTAGTAAAATCGTAATTCATAAATAAGTAAATAATTTAATTTAAATAAATAAAATAAATTATTTTAAAATTAAAAATTTTCAAATTCAAAATTAAATAGATAAAATGTAGTAAGAGAATAATAAATAAAACTTAAATGATATAAACTATGTAAATTTAAAAAACAAATCAATTTAAATTCAATCAAATTAAATAAACTAATTCAAATTAGTTTAATTAATCAAATGGAATTTAAATAAAAAGAGGCTTTATGTATTTGCTTTATACTTTTTTTGTGAAAAACTACAATTTGCATTAAAAAGGGAAAAAATATATAGTCAACTAAGTGATAGACAAACTATCAGAATCCCTCCTGTTCAAGAATAAAAAAGTTGATGGAAGGTTATTGACTACTACATTGTCCCCAAAAAATTTCTCTAAAATAGCATAATGGGAACATAAATCAGCCACCTTACTACAATCTTTGGACACATAATGAAAAATAACATGATTAAAACTTTTAAAGAAAGATAAATCCTGTTGCATTTGGTCTTTACCTTGCCATTCGATCTCCATTGAATTCAGAAGCATCTTCATAATGTTTACATTATCCCCTCAATAAAAAATCCTGGCTTTTCATGCATCCACCCTTGAGCATTTCCTTGAAAGCAATGATAGTAAGGAGGTCCAATGGAGACATATCCCAATACATTAATTTCTTTCCATAAGCTAACAAAAAATCTTCCTTTATGGTCTCTTATCACCCCAGCAATGCCATTTCTATTACATTGAAGAAGAGATGTGTCAACATTCAATTTAATCCATTAAGGAGGTGGGGGGTGCCAATTTTTTTTTTTCAGCTCATAGAGGTTGGTTAACATCCGAATTCTTTAAAATTAGATACAATTCAGGTTGAATTGAATCAGATAGTACCTGTGCAGTAATAACTAAATCAGATGGCATAGGACTACCATGTTAAGTAGCTCTTTTGGCTCTCCAAGAATGCTACAAAGCAGAAACATAAATTCTGACCATACCATCCATTTCATACAAGTTAAACTAAGAAAAACAGGATGTATAGTATATTCAAATGCCATAGCAATTATTGATTTAACTTAATTATCCAGCTTTAGCTCAGGTTTCTCTTCAGACAACTTAGATAATAAAGGAATTTCTTGAATACATTTTATCATCTGCTTTCACAAAGTAGCTTATTTAATTCAGCGACATTCCACCGACTCTCCACATTTAGCAACTAAGCCACATTCATATCTTGTAGCTCCTGGAAGTTGCAATGAGCAAGCCATCTATCAACACATCTATCTAATATCCAAACATCTTCAAGCAGCCTAATATACTGACTATTAGCCACTTCTTATATGAATAAAGGCTTTACGAAATTTTCTCCCTCAACCAATATAAGCCAACCAGATGAAGCTCACCTCTTTAATTCCCCATTCCAAATATCCTTCCCATATTTAGCAACAATATTTCTGTTAAGTAATGAATTAGGTTTCTGAATAAAATTCTTGGATAAACAGGCCCTCAAAGATCCTTGCTTGCAGTTGCACCTTGGACACCAAGCCCTCCCACATCAATCAGAAGACAAAGAACCTCTCAAGCAACAAAATGCAAGCCCTGTCTCCCTTGATATTTATGCTCTAAAAATTTTCTACACAGCCGATCAAATTCAACCAAAATTGCTCTAGGAACCAAAGAATGAGACATGATTAATGAAGGAATAGAAGAGAAATTAGATTTGATGAGAGTTATCCTTCCAGCCAAAGAAAGAGAACGAATATCCCAAGTATTAAGTCTATCCAATGAATGATTAATCAGCAATTGGAAATCAGAATCCACCATCCTTCCTGAAAAAAATTTCACTCCCAAATAGGAAATCTCTTTGACTACTCTGAACCCCAACAAGCCAGCCATCTTTTTCTTCCTCCCAGCAGATACACTCTTCCCAAATAACATCATAGATTTATTATAATTAATTTTCGGACCAGCCTAATGATAGTAATCAGTAAGAATTCTATTAATTCTGAGAACATACTTAAGAGGTACATTAACAAATATTAATACATCATTTATATACAGCAGATGTGAAACTCTTTCAGCATTTATAGTTATTTTAACACCAACCCACCGCATCTTTCATGAAAAGATTTGAAATTTAATTTAGAACACATAATAAAAAGAAATGGTGATAGTCAGCAACCTTGGCTAAACCCACTTTTTGCTTCAATCCATTTTATTCCTTCCATTGATAAGGATTGAGAATCTTGGATGACTCACACATTGGATTATCCAGCTTGTGATCTTCACAGGAAAACACATCACCATCAAAATCTACATCAAAGTCCACCAATAATACAATCTGTCAAATTATCTACTGATTTTGATTGCTTCCACCAAATTTCTTCTATTTTTCTTGCTGAATTTACCGATTATTGTTAGGGTCTGTTTGCGAACTCAAGTATTCCCATTAGGATTACTTGCAAACTCAAGTATTTCCTATCACAATCTTATATATTGTTTGGCATAAACTAATAGGTCTGAATTTGGATAGATCAAAAGCATTAGTAACCTTAGGAATAAGAAAAATATGTGTCCTTCCAAAAATCTAGCATGATACTAAAAATTAAAAATTTGTCAATAGCCTTTCATAAGTCCTAAAGAAATAAGCATTTATACCATCTACTCAAGGAGATTTATTACTTCCCATATGTCTTACTACAACAAGTAAATCCTCTCTTATAAAATCAGTCACTAGCAGTTTTTTCTTCTCTTCATCAATCTGCTAATCCATACTAAATTCAGGCCAGTAATGTAGCACATCTCTCCACTTCTCTGACAAAAAAGCTGAAAGAAAGTGGCATCAATTGTTTCTGGATCCCTCACCAACTCCCCATTTTGATCTATGATTTGGTTTACCATATTTTTGTTCATCCTTGCTGAAGCAAAAGTATGAAAAAATTGTTAGTATCTCCTCCTTCCAGCCATCTTATTTTAGACCTTTTCCTCAACCAGGTAGCTAATCTTGCACGAGTAATGTTTAATTCGTGTACTTTCCTTCTCAGCTCCACAAGCTTATATGGATTCAACCAACTCAGCAAGCCAAGCATTCTTCCTCTTGTAGCAGCAATATTTTGTTTTGAAGATTCTCTATTAGCAAGTTCAGCTCCTTTAGTTTTTTTTTTTTTTTTTTCTTGCTTCAATAATAATGATTTCTAAGAGATCTTTCAAGCTTTCTTTGAAGGATTTCAGCAGCACTCCCAAAATTAGATTTACTCTAGGATTTGCATGAAATGCCCCATGATGCAGAACAGGAAGGCCAAATATTTTCATATCTAATAACTCTGCTTTGACTATGATGAACATTTTTCAAATTCAATAAAATAGGACAATGATTAGAAGCTACTCTAAGAAAATGTCTGACCACATAAAAAGGGATATATTAGAGAGATTCAGAGTTCAACAAAATTCTATCTAATTTTTCCCAAATACGAGCCAAGCCCTCCTTATTATAACACCAAGTAAATTTACGCACTATAACCCATACATCATGGAGATCAGTATTCACAAAATAATCCTTCTTATGAGACCCATAGTACAAAGTAAATCTCTACCCCCCCCCCTCTCTAATATTTGCAAGATTATCTTTAGAAGAATGGGCTTCAATTATTTGCCATGAGTTCCTCACATGAACAACTTTGTTTCCAAAAACAATAACAACAAACCAACTAATAGAATTAGGAGCTTACCAATAATACATTAATTAGATGATGCTTACACTAAAAAAGAGGAAATATTCTTTCTCCATAGGGCAAGAATTCCTCATGAAGTCCCCACAAATGAATAATAAAAGAAATCTCATTCACACTAATAATTCTATTGATCTCAATAATATCAATAGAAGACAACTTAGTTTCCATTAACCCAATAAAGAAAAGATATCATTTTATTTAACCATACTCGTCAAATAAAGTGAAGACTATTTTTTATTGGCTCCCCTACAATTCCAAAATATGATAGAATAGATTAAGAAAATAACGGGAAAAGTCCCAAACCAAATTTTCTACCCCCTCCATTCTCCTCCTTCTAGAGATATCCTTAATAGGGCCTAACATTTTTAGTTCTTTAATAAGTGTAACCTTATACAGAACTGATTTGACATCATTCAAAACTACTCTAAGTTTGCTAATGCCAACAACCTCTTCAGATTCAACCCCTAAAATAGAATATTTATTATAAACATCTTCCCTTCCACCATCAAATGTAGAAGAAGCTATATTAAGTTTTCTGACCACTGTGTTAACAAAAGAAGTATAATTTAAAGCACTTTCACTCTCCATAACCTCAGTAGGAAAATTTGGATCATTATTTTCCCTTTCATTGAAATAAGCAGAATCCTTGATAAGAGAAGCTCCAGATTCCTCAATGGCTTGATCAGTAGCAGGATACTTTACATCATCAACCCTTTGTTGAGCATTCTGAATCTCCTTAAGAGTAACTTCCAAAATAGAATATTCTCTAATATGAACATTCGTATTCTGATTAGATTTAACATTATTGACAGCAACATCTTTGGAATGATCAGCATCAACTTCTTTGACATGATCTGAATCCTTTCATTGATCAGCATCTGAACATCCTTTCAAATTTTTAGCATGTGAAAGTATAGTAGAATCCCTACACTGGATAGTGGATGACAATATCTATATAGAATCCCACTCTTGGTGTTTATGCTTTTCCAGTGAAGCATGATTAAGTCCAGCAACATTATCATTTTCTACAGGAATTTTATTAGGATCTAGAGAATCAGAAACACCCCACATATTCTAGGAGTAGACAAAACATGGAATTTATTCCTTTTCCACTTATTAGTTACGACACCTAAGGTCCATAAAATGCTTCATCCTGATTCTCCATAGATCCTCTATTTTCAAATTGCTTATTTAGAGATGTAAGAGGCACTTTGGCATTTTAAACACCTTCAAGAGATGATGCCATATACACTGGATCATTAACAATATCTACCCTTTCTCCCATCATCTTCCGCAGCGGAACATCCTCATTAATAACTTTACTATTTTCCTCAAAACCAAAATTCAAATAATTATTTTGCTTGTGACCCAATCTACAACATTTAAAACACAATTTTGAAACCCTTCCATATTCACAATGCTGAAAAACCTTCCATTAATCCCTTCCACCCAAACTCCAGTAGGAAGTCTATCAGCCAAATTGATGTGCACACAAAACCCTTGCAAACTACCTTCTTCCCTAATTAATAGATTGAGCATCAATTAAGATAGGAATGCCAATCCTAAATGTAATGCTAGTAATATTTCTCTTATTCCAACAATGAAGAGGAAGATAAGAAAATCTAACCCAAATAGGAGAATAAAGACCATTCATAGTAGGAGAGAAAGAAGTGGACCATCTATCTAGCCCAATCACATGCCAATCAATAAACATTGGACCACCACTTAAAACTGCATCCCTGGCTTCAGAAGATTGAAATAAGCACACCATGTACCCCATCCCAACTGAAGTTATTTGAAAGGAACCAACATGTCTCCTTTGTTTATTGCGCTCATTAAAAATAAAAGAATAAGGCATGCTCCTACCAAGAATCTTAATAATTAAAGCATTATCTAGCCTTTTATTATTTTTAACTTCAGCTTCTGAATGTAATTTCACAGTCATTCCATTGTCAAAGAATGAGGAAAAGTCCTTAGTATTTGAGACTTTGAAATGCCATGGTCTCTTCCAAACATTGTGTTGAGATCGATACTTGATATTGGCTTCATTACCTGCCTTCATACATTCATTATTTACTAAAAGGATCTTCTCTGAGAAATTCTGAACATTACCTTGTGAGTTATACTTTGGATCAAAAGTTTGATCTCTTGTCAATAGCCTAT